ATCTGAAGTAGATAAATTATTGTATATGAAAGTTCTGTGTAAACTTCAGTGCTCTATGTAAGTTTCAGAGTTTATTACTCCAGGTTTCTTTCATATGTAAAGGGAAGAGGTGCATTTGGGTCTTCTTCTGATCTGAAGCTCCCTTAATGTCTTGTCCTGTCATGTCTGTGTCTAGGCTTTATGCCCTCTGGTTTCTTTATTTTTATTTTTATTTTTTTGAGACAGAATCTCGCTGTGTTGCCTAGGCTGGAGTGCAATGGATCTCAGCTCACTGCAACCTCTGCCTCCTGGGTTCAAGTGATTCTTCGGCCTCAACGTCCCAAGTAGCTGGGATTACAGGCATGTGCCCCCACACCCGGCTAATTTTTGTATTTTGAGTAGAAGCGGGGTCTCACCATGTTGTCCAGGCTGGTCTCAAACTCCTGGCCTCAAGTGGTCCACTCACCTTGTCCTCCTAAAGTGCTGGGATTACAGGCGTGGGCCACTGCGCTTGGCCTAGCCTCTGGTTTCTAATATCCCCTGCAGTCAAATATTTGGCCCTTGCTGCTTTCCTGTGCTATTGTCAGAGGTCACCAGGAATCTTTTGGTCATTACACTCGACATGTTTGTAATGGGCCTCACCCCCATGTTTCTCTTCAGTTATTTTGCACCATTGCCACCTCCTTTCTGCAAGGTCATTGCTTTTCCTCAATGACGATGTTTTCTTATTTCTCCTTCTCTGTCTTATTGTGTCTTTTCTGTTTTCCAAAGATTCATTGTTAGCTTTTTTCCCTCTTATTTCATTCTACTTTTTAGTCTACTTTATTATTTTCATACTTGGTTACTTCAGCCTTGTCATTTTAGAGGCCTCTTCTCCCTCTCTGGCTCTGCTCTCTCTAGAGCCCAGTCCTGCTTCTTGTCTCTGCTGATCACTAAACATTTCTACTTAGATATCTGGTAGACATTTGGAGCTCAGGGTGTCTGAGGTGAAACCTCTATTCTTCTTCTTCTTCTTTTTTTTTTTTTTTTTGAGGCGGAACTCGCTCTTCTTGCCCAGGCTGGAGTGCAATGGCATGATCTTGGCTCACTGCAACCTCTGCTTCTCGGGCTCAAGCGGTTCTCCTGCCTCAGCCTCCCGAGTAGCTGGGATTACAGGCACCCGCCATCACGTCTGGCTAATTTTTTGTATTTTTAGTAGAGATGGGGTTTCACCATGTTGACCATGGGTGGTCTCGAACTCCTGACCTCAGGTGATCCGCCCGCCTTGGCCTCCCAAAGTGCTGGGATTACAGGTGTGAGCCACCGCACCTGGCCTTTTTTTTTTTTTTTTTTTTTTTTTGAGGTGGGAGCCTCTTATCAAGCCAGTTTCTGTACTACTTCTCTAATGTTCTGGGACTCTGCCTTTATATCAACACCTAGCACGTGGCAGTTACTCTGAAAATGTGATCTGAAGGAATGGATGAATTCTTCTATTTACCCAAGCTGGAATTCTGAGACTCACCTTAGATTTGATCTCTGTGGTGACCACATCCAATCTGTTGCCAAGTCATGTCAGTTTTGTGTCTAATGTATCTTTTGTATTCCTTCCTCCATTCCCACCACGATTACTTTGATATCATAGTAGGCTTCTAGCCAGTCTTTTCTTTCTCCATGCCTTTTCCCTTGCTAATATTTTTTATATGTTGCTATTAGAGCAGTCTTGATTCATGCCTAATGATGGTGATGATGATAATGCCTCGTATTTATTAAGCACTTACTATGGGCCCACTATTTCTAAGTGCATTATATCATTAAATTCAAATAACCTTTAAGTTAGATACTGTCATTATCCATATTTTATAAGTGAAATGGAGGCCCAGAGAGTTAAGTATCTTGCCAAGACCATGCAGCTGGTAAATGGCAGAGCTAAAATTTTAAGCTGTCTGATTTTAGTTCAAGCTTTAACTACCACACTCTGTTCTCCCTCCCACAGAGTAAGGTAACTGATCATGCTGTTCTTACTCACACGTCTTAGATAGTTGATTTCAAACACTATACTACTTTTTAGTCTTATATTCAGTATCCTTTGTGAGCTGACCACATCTCATTATTTCTGTTACTTTGGTTTTTTTTTCTATGCCAGACTGAATCCTTCTGTTATCTAAATATTCATATTCTTCCCAGTAATTTTATTCATTTTATTTTTTTTTCTACCTGGCCTTCTTTCCCATTGAGTTGCCTGTGTTTGTCTCCCTCTGATAGCATGTTCTCTAACTGCTCTATGCTACTAAATGCATTTATTTCATATTATAATTATGGTTTGATGTTTTATCTTTCCTGTGAGCCTGTAATCTTGAGTGTAACATCTGTCATTTTTTTCTGTCTCCATGCCTTGTACAATGCACACTTTTACATATTTTTTCTTTATTAAATTGCTCTTCAAAAAATCTGTTGAATAAGTGAAGAATTTAACTATTACCCATAGACCATTAACCATAAGATTCCCGTATGGGTGGCTTATTAGTGTGCTATGTCTCATTTCCCTGTGGTTCAGTAGTTCATTATACTACATAATGGGAAGAACTGGTGAAAATGTTTATGATCTGAGGGTTTGGTGTTTTTTTGTTTTTGTTTTTGTTTTTTGAGACAATTTATCAGGCTAATTTAAGATACTTCAGTTTTTTCAAAAAATTGATTATTATTCAAAAAATAATCATTTCATTGATTCTAAGACACGTTTTTCACATGCTGAAATTGTCAATATAGATTTTTATTTTGTTAGGCTCGGCACAGTGGCTCATGCCTGTAATGCTAGCACTTTAGGAGGCCGAGGTGGGCAGATCACCTGAGGTCAGGAGTTCGAGACCAGCGTGGCCAACATGGTGAAATCACATCTCTACTAAAAATACAAAAATTAGCTGGACATGGTGGCGGGCACCTGTAATGCCAGCTACTTGGGAGGCTACTTGGGAGGCCAGGAGACTCACTTAAACCTGGGAGGCGGAGGTTGCAGTGAGCTGAGATGGAGCCATTGCACTCCAGCCTGGTCAACAAGATCAAAACTTCGTCTCTAATAAGAATAATAATAATAAAATTTGGGGATTATTCCACATCAGTACATTAAATATGTAGTTTTAATAGATTCTACTTTTTTTTTTTTTTGAGACGGGGTCATGTTCTATCATCCAGGCTAGAGTACAGTGGCGCGATCTTGGCTCACTGCAAGCTCTGCCTCCCGGGTTCATGCCATTCTCCTGCCTCAGCCTCCCAAGTAGCCGGGACTACAGGCACCCGCCACCATGCCCAGCTAATTTTTTGCATTTTTAGTAGAGATGGGGTTTCACTGTGTTAGCCAGGATGATCTCGATCTCCTGACCTCGTGATCCGCCCGCCTCGGCCTCCCAAAGTGCTGGGATTACAGGCCTGAGCCACCGTACCCGGCTTTTTTTTTTTTTTTGAGACAGGGTCTCGCTCTGCCACCCAGGCTGAAGTGCAGTGGCATGATCATGGCTCGCTGTAGCCTCAATCTTCCTGGCTCAAGATGTCCTCCTGACTCAGCCACCCAAGTAGCTGGGACTAAGGCATGCACCACCATGCCTGGCTAATTTTTGTCACATAGGAAGCACTATAAAATGTTAGCTATATTTATTATATTACTGATCACTTAGCTGTCCGCTGCCCAAGCCACTGCCTGTCTCCAGACGGCTAACCCCGCATTCCATCACTGACCTCCTTAGACCTTGGTCTAACTGGCTGGTGTGGAAACCTCATTCTTTTTTTCAGTGTCTGCTCTTTCAAAGGATGTTCTCCTGGCCACCCAGTGATGCCCTTTATACTACAGCTACCAGGGCTCTCTCCACAGTAGGGTAGAGAAGATGAGATAGTCTCGCACCTGCCTGAAACCAGGGCACTTCTGAATGTCTTTGCTGCTTATACTCGGCTTCTTGGCCAGAATTCTGCATATTCTTCCTCATATAGGCTCCCCCGACAGTTGTTCCACCTTGCCTTCTACTTCCTTTGGGAACCTACATTCTAATGTGCATCTGAATCCAGATGAGATCAGGGTTTAAGTTCTTTCTTTTTTGTTTGTTTTTTTTTTTTTTTTTGGTTTTTTGTTTTGTTTTGTTTTGTTGAGACAGTTTCACTGTTGCCCAGGCTGGAGTGCAGTGGTGTGATCACAGCTCACTGCAGCCTTGACCTCCCAGGCTTAAGTGATCCTCCTGCCTCAGCCCCCCAAGTAGCTGGGAGTACAGGTGCATGCCACCATACCCAGCTAATTGTTTTATTTTTTGTGGAGATGAGGTTTCACTATATTGCTCAGGCTGGTCTCGAATACCTGGGCTCAAGCCTCATCTTCCCAAGGTGCTGGGATTACAGGCATGAGCCACTGCACCGGCTTAAGTTCTTTCTCATGAGGCTCTTGGGCCACAATTAAATTGGGGATGTGGCTTGACATCTATTTTAAGGGTTCCTGAGCTACTGTGACTGATAAGTCCCCCAAACATTTGATGAGAGGTGGGAGGCCAGTATCCCCTGAGTACCAGAGGATCCGTGAGGAGGAGTGACATCTCTAGCTCAGCCAGGATACCCTGTTATGTTATTAACATAGCTAACATCAAGTAGCAGTTTCCATTACAACATGATTTTCACATAAGTTATCTCATTTAACTCTGAGGCAGGAATCAGTATCTCCTTTTCATTTTTCTAATGAGGAAACAAGATTAGAAACATTGTGTTCACATAGATGGAAAAGGACAGGTCTGTCTTCGTGTGTCACCATACCAAGCTATCTTCTTATCAGAGGAAAAAGGGTCATATTTTATGGTTCAGCAGAGTTTATATCAGTTGGCATAATGGAGGAATTTAGTGTTAGCCGTGTTTGCAGTGAAAGTAATAGGATGCAAAACTTGAATAATTTCATTTAAATTTAGGTTTCCTTGTTACTTTGTAGGTTTGTGTGAACTGTAGACAATTTTATGTTAATAAAAAGTAATGCGTATATAAATACACACCTATATATATTTATCTTGTCGTTTTTTCAGAACCACAATGGACACTGCCAGCCATAGCCTTGTTCTTCTCCAACAACTGAACATGCAGCGAGAATTTGGTTTTCTGTGTGATTGCACAGTTGCAATTGGAGATGTTTACTTCAAAGCCCACAGAGCGGTGCTTGCTGCTTTTTCTAACTATTTCAAGATGATATTTATTCACCAAACAAGGTAAGGATGTGTTTTTGTAAATAAGAATTTTTAATATTGTGATTTATATAAGCCTTATTATAATATCATTTTGGAAATTCTTTGTTACAGAGTCACCCTAAGAAGTAAAGTTATAATTTTTTCTTTTTTTTTTTTGGAGATGGAGTCTTGCTCTGTCACCCAGGCTGAAGTGCAGTGGCGCAATGTCGGCTCACTGTAACTTCCACTGCCCAGGTTCAAGCGATTTTCATGCCTCAGCCTCCTGAGTACCTGGGATTACGGGCGCGTGCCACCACGCCTGGCTAATTTTTGTATTTTTAGTAGAGGTAGGGTTTCACCATGTTGGTCAGGCTGATCTCGAACTCCTGACCTCAGGTGATTTGCCTGCCTCAGCCTCCCAAAGTGTTGGGATTGCAGGCGTGAGCCACTGTGCCTGGCTAAATTATAATAATTTTTTATACATCAGTAATTAAACTCAGTGGGTAGGCTCCATAGTGGAAAATAAGAATGAAACTAAGAATAGCTAAAATTGGCCGGTTGCCGTGGCTCACATCTGTAATCCCAGCACTTTGGGAGGCCAAGGTAGGCGGATCACAAGGTCAGGAGTTTGAGACCAGCCTGGCCAATATGGTGAAACCCCCGTCTCTACTAAAAATACAAAAATTAGCCAGGCATGGTGGACAGCTGTAGTCCCAGCTACTCGGGAGGCTAAGGCAGGAGAATCGCTTGTACCTGGGAGGTGGAGGTTGCAGTGAGCCGAGATCGTGCCACTGCATTCCAGCCTGGGTGACGGAGCAAGACTCTGTCTCAAAAAAAAAAAAAAAAAATAGCTAAAATTTACTGAAGGCTTATCCCATACCAAAGCACTAAGTATTTGCCCTGTAGTGTAAATTCTACTGCTCTCCCTATTTTAGGGAAAGGAAAACTGAGACTGAGTTAAGTAACTTGCCCATGCAGGATTATATAGCCATTAAGTTTGATACAGATATGTCTGAAGCTATGTCTATGCTTCTAGTCACTAAGCTGTTAATTTTTATTTCATGTAACACTTTTGTTTTATTATTTTTTATTTTTTTTGAGATGGAGTCTAGCTCTGTTGCCCAGGCTGGAGTGCAGTGGTGCGATCTCGGCACACTGCAACCTCCACCACCCAGGTTCAAGCAGTTCTCTTGCCTTAGCCTTCCAAGTAGCTGGGACTATAGGTGTGTGCCGCCACGCCTGACTAATTTTTGTATTTTTTAGTAAAGATGGGGTTTCACTATGTTGGCCAGGCTGAACTCGAACTCTTGACATCAGGTGATCTGCCCGCATTGGCCTTCCAAATTGCTGGGATTACAGGCGTGAGCCACTGCACCCGGGCTCATATAACACTTTCATAGCAAAGTTTCAGTATCCTAATTCTACCTGCCATATGGTCTGTATTATAGTTTAAGGGTCACTTGTTTCAAATATTTTTTCAAAATTACTTTGCTTTTTCAAATTTGGGTTAATCCAACATATTAGGTATGTAGGGAGGGGGAAGGAAAGTGGTATTCAGATTCTAACCTTTTGGTAGAGTAGTTTTATTCCATCCTAGATTGAAAGTGACGGAACACTCTATGTTTTTTTAAATAACCTTACTTGAAATAGGAGTTCAGCCTCAATTATACATTGTAATTGTTTTTGTTTTTGTTTTTTTTGAAGACAGAGTTTCGCTCTTGTTGCCCAGGCTGGAGTACAATGGTGCAATCTCGGCTCACTGTAACCTCCGCCTCCTGGGTTCAAGTGATTCTCCTGCCTCAGCCTCCTGAGTTAATTGGGATTACAGGCATGCGCCACCACGCCCTGATAATTTTGTGGTTTTAGTAGAGACGGGGTTTCTCCATGTTGGTCAGGCTGGTCTAGAACTCCCGACCTCAGATGATCCACCCGCCTCGGCCTCCCAAAGTGCTGGGATTATAGACGTGAGTCACCATGCCCGGCCTTAATTGTTAATTCATTCAAATATTTATTGAATAAGTATTCAATATGTAAGGCTCTGTGCTATACCTCAGTGTATTAATCCGTTCTCATGCTGCTGTAAGGACGTACCTCAAACTGGGGGGTTTTTTTTCATTTTTTTTTTGATACAGAGTCTCACTCTGTCCCCCAGGCTGGAGTGTAATGGTATGATTTCGGCTCACTACAAGCTCCAACTCCTAGGTTCAGGTGATTCTTGTGAGCCTCCGAATAGCTGGGATTACAGGTGTGTACCACCACACCCAACTAATTTTTGTATTTTTTGTAGAGACAGGGTTTCATCACATTGCCCAGGCTGGTCTTGAACTACTGACCTCAGGTGATCCACCTGCTTCAGCCTCCCAAAGTGCTGGGATTACAGGCATGAGCCATTGCACCTGGCCCGAGACTAGGTAGTTTAAAAAGGAAAGTGATTTAATTGACTCACAATTCCTCAGGGCTTGATAGGCCTCAGGAAACTTACAATCATGGCAGGAGAGGAAGCAAACACTTCCTTCTTCACATGGTGTCAGGAAGAGGAAGAATGAGAGCCAGGTGAAGGGAGAAGCCCCTTATAAAACCATCAGATCTCGTGAGAACTTACTATCATGAGAATAGCATGGAGGAACCACCCCCATGATTCAGTTACCTCCTATCAGGTCCCTCCCACCACACATGGGAATTACGGGAATTATGGGAATTACGATTGAAGATGAGAGTTGGGTGATATGGGTCAAACCATATCACCCAATAACAGGTAAGTTATAATCTCTGTCTTTGAGCAATTCATAGTCTGATAAGTAATGTGTATAAAGCAAATAGTTGTGCTGTAATTGACCCTTCTGTGCCTCCATTTCCTTATCTATAAAATGTTTGAATAGTATACTCACCCCATGGGTACTGAGAAGATTAAATGGATTAATAGTATTGAAATGCTTAGAATAAAGTTTTGCACTGTTAGCTACTGTTACTATTAATAATAATGCCTTAAGTCTGTCATAGAAGTGTATACAAGATAGAGTAAGGTTTCAGTGGCCCTATTTTGAGAAGGTTGGAATGGGCTTTACAGAGATCCTGGATCTTGAAGAATCAGAAGGAGTTTTTCAGATGTTGTAGAAGGACTCAAGAATGTGCATCATAGGCAGAGGGAAAAAATGGCATGAAAACATATACAGATATATGAACCAGGCCAGCTCATTCAGACCACAGAATAGATCGGAATGGTTGAAACATACGGCACAAAGTGGAGAGGAGATTGGAGTGGGGACAAGTAATGGGCAACTTTTTCTGGCAAATGAAGGAGTTTCTTATCTGACCTAAGTGTCAGTGTAGATTACTCTCACTATATTGGAAACGCCACCTTCAGAGCAGTCTCTTGAGAGCTGTGAGTTGGTTCAGCTCTGAGTGCACCTGTTATGTGCTTGCTAAACTGAACCCAGGTGATACAAAGGTAGGCCTGCTATGTGGTATCTCTGTATTGAGCAACTAAAAATCATGTTATTAGAACCCTGAACTGATATTTTTAAAAGCCCTGCCACAAACCATGTTAGTGGGTGGGTTAGAGCTAAGAGTGGAACCCAGTAGAGGAAGAGGGAAGTCCTAAGGTATCAAGACTAAAGCAATGGATTGCCAGCATACTGCCACCCAGAGCAATCTGATGCACTGACATAAACTTCTGCTTCAGGGAAGGTAAGTCCATTCACTGATTTCATTGTTCCTTGATAGCAACATTTCCTTCAGGTTGTCTCTATTCTAATTTTGCAGGGATATGTCTGATTTCTTACATACTTATTTCCATCTATTACTTGAATTCTAGATTCATACGTAAAAATTGAAATTTGGGATTATTTTTAAGCTTTTCAAAATTATACCTGTATTCATTGTGATTTATTTATTTATTTTTATTTTTAATTATTTGAGACAGAGTCTGGCTCTGTTGCCCAGGCTGGAGTGCAGTGGCACGATCCTAGGTCACTGCAACCTCTGCTTCCTGGACTCAAGTGTTCCTTCCATGTCAGCCTCCCGAGTAGCTTGGACTATAGGTGCATGCCACCACGACTGACTAATTTTTTGTTTGTTTGTTTTGTATTTTTGTAGAGACAGGATTTTGCTGTGTTGCCCAGGTTGATCTTGAACTCCTGAGCTCAAGTGATCCACCTGCCTCAGCCTCCCAAAGTGCTGGGATTACAGGCATAAACCACCATGCCTGGCCTCTCATTTGTGGTTTAAAGAACACATATATGAATATATTTGGGAAGCCAAAATAGGATTAGCATTTAGATTTTAAATATTATCAATTTCAATGGATTTTTTTTTTTTTTTTTTTTGAGACAGAGTCTCGTTCTGTTGCCCAGGCTGAAGTGCGGTGGTGTGATCTCAGCTCACTGCAACCTCTGCCTCCCAGGTTCAAGCAATTTTCCTGCTTCAGCCTCCCTAGTAGCTAGGACCACAGGCGTGTGCCACCATACCCGGCTAGTTTTTTGTAATTTTAGTAGAGACGGGGTTTCACCATGTTGGTCAGGCTTGTCTTGAACTCAGATGATCCACCTGCCTTGGCCTCCCAAAGTGCTGGAATTACAGGCGTGAGCCACCGCACCTGGCCGATTTCAATAGATTCTTTCAACAGTTTTAAGATATTTTTGTTGTGGCTATAAACATGTAAAATTTGCCATTTTAACTATTTTTAATTATACAATGCAGTGGTGATAATCACATTCACAATGTTGTACAACCATTATTACTATCTATTTCCAAAACTTTTTTATCACCCCAAACAGAAACTTTGTACCCGTTAAGCAATAATGCCCCATCTCACACTCTCAACCCCTGGAAACTGCTAATTTACTTTCTATCTCTATGACTTTGCCTATTCTAGATATTTTATACAATACTCATCCTTTTGTGTCTGTCTTATTTTACTTAGCATGATATTTTCGGGGTTCTCTACGTTGTAGCAGGTATCAGAACTTCCTTCTTTTATGGTTGAATAATATTCCATTGTATGTGTAAGCCATCTTGTGTTTATCCACTCATCTTTTGGTGGACACTCAGCTTCTTTCTACCTTTTGGCTACTGTAGTAATGTTGCAGTGAACATTGGCATACAGGTATCTGTTTTGAGTCCCTGTTTTTAGTTCTTTTGATTGTTTACTCGACAGACTGTTAAATTCCTTAAGAGCAGGGTACCTATTTTATTCATCAATTTTCTACCCCTGGCATCTAGTATAGTGCATATCACTTAGGAGTCATTCGATTAACGTTGAACTAATCAGAATGTGTCTGTGTTTCCTAACTTTAGGCAGTAGATTGAATACAGGAAGACTTTTTGGTAGGCCATAAAGTTGGTATAAAATGAAAGTTTAAGCCTGTGTTGCCATGTTTTATAAGGCAGATTGCTAAGTTTGAACTTCTTAGGAAGAAATTGCTTTAGTCTCAGACTATGCTGTTAGCTGAAAGGCCAACTAGGTTGTGTTTCATTTCTTGTGGGTCTGTTTTTGTTTTTAACAGTGAATGCATAAAAATACAGCCAACTGACATCCAACCTGACATATTCAGCTATTTGTTGCATATTATGTACACGGGGAAAGGGCCAAAGCAGATTGTGGATCATAGTCGTTTGGAGGAAGGGATTCGATTTCTTCACGCCGACTACCTTTCTCACATTGCAACTGAAATGAATCAAGTGTTCTCACCGGAGACTGTGCAGTCCTCAAATTTATATGGCATTCAGATCTCAACAACCCAAAAAACAGTTGTGAAACAAGGACTGGAGGTCAAAGAAGCTCCTTCTAGTAACAGTGGAAACAGAGCTGCTGTCCAGGGTGATCACCCCCAGTTACAGCTGTCTCTTGCTATTGGTCTGGATGATGGCACTGCAGACCAGCAGAGGGCCCATCCTGTCACCCAGGCGCTGGAGGAGCACCAGAAGCCCCCAGTTTCCATCAAGCAGGAGAGATGTGACCCAGAATCTGTGATCTCCCAGAGCCACCCCTCACCATCATCAGAGGTGACAGGCCCCACTTCTACTGAAAACAGTATCAAAATACACTTATGCCATTACTGTGGGGAACGTTTTGATTCCCGTGGTAACCTAAGGCAACATCTCCATACACATGTGTCTGGATCCCTGCCATTCGGTGTCCCTGCTTCCATTCTGGAAAGCAATGACCTTGGTGAAGTGCATCCCCTTAATGAAAACAGCAAGGCCCTTGAATGCCACAGGCTCAGCTCCTTCATTGTTAAGGAGAATGAACAGCAGCCAGACCACACCAACCGGGATACCACAGAGCCTTTGCAGATCAGTCAAGTATCTTTGATCTCCAAAGACGCAGAGCCAGTAGAATTAAACTGTAATTTTTCTTTTTCAAGGAAAAGAAAAATGAGCTGTACCATCTGTGGTCATAAATTCCCTCGAAAGAGCCAATTGTTGGAACACATGTATACACACAAAGGTAAATCTTACAGATATAACCGATTCCAAAGGTTTGGTAATGCATTGGCCCAGAGATTTCAGCCATACTGTGACAACTGGTCTGATGTCTCCCTGAAAAGTTCTCGCTTGTCACAAGAACACTTAGACTTGCCTTGTGCCTTAGAGTCAGAGCTTACACAAGAAAATGTGGATGCTATCCTAGTTGAGTAGCAGCTTCTCTTTCAGAATTTTTATACCAATTCTGAAAAAGAAAATTCGCATGGCATTTTTTATTCATAAATTATTTTCCTCCTCAAGTTTGGTTGACTTTTTTTCTTCACAGCTTATCCATGGTTTTAAGGTTGTATATATTAGATCTTCTCATAAGACATATTAATATGTGGCTATTAAAATGTAACATTCAATTACTACTGTGAACTTTTCACAAATGAAATTACAATTTAGAAATCAGAAATCAATGTAGAAATATGGAAACTTTAAATAGTTATTTATAGAATTTCTGTTTTTCCAGTTACAGAACCAGTAATATCAGATTGAATATAAAGTAAATGAAATCTGTTTTAAAGCATATTCTAAACTATCACTTCTGCCTACATTTCACATGAATTCACTCCTACAAGGATTATTTTTAAATATTTTCTTCCATATAGGAAATTAATACTTATTTTAGTGCATAACTATATGTTATACATATGTTATAATGTATAAAAATTTATTTTAAGATATACCAAATCATGAGTAGTTTTATTTTTTAACAACTAGCTCTACAACATCTTACCTACATGGCTTCTCTTTACTTTTTAACATTGAGTATACCTCATTTTTTTTTTTTTTTTTTTTTTTGAGACAGTCTCCCTCTGTCGCCCAGGCTGGAGTGCAGTGACGTGATCTCGGCTCACTGCAAGCTCCACCTCCGGGTGCACGCCATTCTGCCTCAGCCTCCTGAGTAGCTGGGACTACAGGCGCCTACCACCATGCCCAGCTAACTTTTTTGTATTTTTTTAATAGAGACGGGGTTTCACCGTGTTAGCCAGGATGGTCTTGATCTCTTGACCTCGTGATCCGCCCGCCTCGGCCTCCCAAAGTGCTGGGATTACAGGCATGGTATACCTCATTTTTAATAAGAAACAGTTAAAAGAAAGGGAGAAGAGTCAGAGAGAAATTAAAAAATCTTTAAGAAACAGTAAGATATACACACATAGATAAATAAACATGCAGAGACAGAGACTGAGCTAGAACTACATTGACTAAAAACCCCAGGGTTGTTACCTTGGTGTATAGTGTTTTCTTAGACAGCTTAAAAAGCAATTTGAGATTTTTATGACCAGAGGTTTACATGAGTTGAAAGAGAAAGATGATAAAATATAAATCATCTTTCTACCCTCAATGTCAGAGGATTTTGGGGGCTTCCTGGGTTGATACTAATTTTCTAAAAACCACTTGAAAAAGTAGTTTTTCATTGGCACAGTTTTTACTTTTTTCCTGATCCATAAAGCCAGCAAAGTGGATACATTGAGTGTTCTGTAACTGCATTTAAAACCCATGATGTTAGCTTTCCCTCTATAAATCAACTTAACCCTCTTTATAATGGTGACACTTACAAAGCTAAAACCCCAGGAGAGTTAAAGTTGATGGAATAAATTACAGATTCCGTGGCTCTATATACCTGGGAAATATCTGGTTAAGCTTCACCACAAAGGATAGATCTAAATTGTTTCTGAAATGTTTAAATTTCAAACACCACATAGTCAAGGATAATAAAACAGACATTTTTTTTGCCCTCTTGTTAAATTCTGAGCTTCACAGGCATTTGAATACATATAAAAAATTTGGTTTGTGAGCCTTAGAATTTAACCACTTAAAAAACTCTTGAGCTCCCTCCACTTCCGAGGATATTTCCTGACACATTCAACAGCATCAGCGTTCAGTCAGGAGGGAGCTCAAAGAGTAATCCAGCTAATTCTAAGGACACAAAGGTTTTCTCTAGATAAACAGTTTAGGTAAATTACAAAGTGGTAAGTTTTTCTTGAGGATTGAATGAAGAAAAAACTACTGGATATTGTGTCAGGCAGTTGAGTTTCTGCCTTAGACAAGTGAGTAAAGGCTCCTATGGTCAAGACTGATGTGTGTTGAGAACAAATCTAACTATTTATAAGATCAATTGTATTGGGAGTAATTAAAACAAATGTATTGCTCTTTGGGGTCAGAACTCAGAACTTCATCTAATCTTAAACTTTTTCCTACCAATTCACTTAGGCAACTATTCAAATTTGTACTGCCCTCAAAGATTTCATCTCATTGGAAGAACACAAGTATTAACATTTATTTTTTGTATTTTAGGCTAGTTAGGATATATTTCCTAGCCTTAATTTTTCTCCTCTGTATTCTTCCCTATTTGCCCACTCATTATTATTATTTATTATTATTATTTTTTAAGGAGTTTCGCCCTTGTTGCCCAGGCTGGAGTGCAATGGTGCAATCTCATCTCACTGCAACCTCTGCCACCTGGGTTCAAGCGATTCTCCTGTCTTAGCCTCCCAAGTAGCTGGGATTACAGATATGCACCACCACACCCAGCTAATTTTGTATTTTTAGCAGAGACGGGGTTTCACCATCTTGATCAGGCTAGTCTGGAACTCCTGACCTCAGGTGATCCACCAGCCTCGGCCTCCCAAAGTGCTGGGATTACGGGTGTGAGCCACCGTGCCCAGCCCACTCATTATTCTTTGACGCAGGAAATCCTTGTATATAGCTAAAGGGTGGAGGTAGAGTTGTATATGGATGATGGGATAAGACAGCAAGCACTGTCAGGGCAGAGTGTGGAGAAATGGTAAGAGTTTGTTAGCAGCTGATTGGCCGTGATAGACGACACTGATTTAAAGCAGAAATATATCTGTTTGTTGAGAGTTAAGAAAATAGTTGTTAACTATTTCTATTCTTACAGTTCCTTTTAATATTGGGAATTCAAAGCAAATGCTCTTTCCTTGTTCCTTATAACATTCATTCTGTTTAAGAAGTGGGAAAATATCAACTTCATTTTATAGAAAAAAAGTCCCAAAAGCTGAATTCCAGAGATGCAGTAAATGGTGTGGGACTGACCCCCAGTTTTTGTTGTTGTTGTTTTCATTTATGCTGCAGGGTTTTTTTTTTTTTTTTTTTTTTTGAGATGGAGTCTCACTATGTCGCCAGGTTGGAGTGCAGTGGTGCTATCTTGGCTCACTGCAACCTCCGCCTCCTGGATCCAAGCAATTCTTTTGCCTCAGCATCCTGAGCACATGCCACCACGCCCAGCTAATTTTTATATTTTTAGTAGAGACAGGGTTTCACCATGTTGGCCAGGATGGTCTTGAGCTCCTGACCTCGTGATCCGCCCACCTTGGCCTCAGATTACAGGCATGAGCCACCGTCGCCCGGCTCTGCAGGCATCTTTTAAAGTAACTGTCATATGCCTAACACTGTGCCCTGAGTATTATTTTTTAAAGATGTGATTGCTCACTGAGAAAATTTGCTTTGTATTTTAGAAGTTCTTCCACCTAGGCCAGGCGTGGTGGCTCACGCCTGTAATCCCAGCACTTTGGGAGGCCGAGGCGGGTGAATCATGAGGTCAGGAGATCAAGACCATCCTGGCTAACACAGTGAAACCCTAGAAGTACAAAAAATTAGCCGGACGTAGTGGTGGGCACCTGTAATCCCAGCTACTCGGGAGGCTGAGGCAGGGGAATAGCTTGAACCCAGGAGGCGGAGGTTGCAGTGAGCTGAGATTGCACCACTGCACTCCAGCCTGGGTGACAGAGCCGAGACTCCATCTCAAAAAAAAAAAAAAAAAAAAAAGTTCTTCCAGCTAAAACCTTTATTTTGGACTACATCTCCACAAAATGGAGCTATACGGTTAGCCAGTATCCTAATAATATGGTGCAGTTTGCATAACGATTACCAAGCTTGAAACTGGAAATATCGTATGCACTTTCATCTGTGTATCAGGCAGATACTAAACAAACATTTTCCCCGTGAGTCAGCTTAAAATTTTTCCTTCTTTCAAAATCTTACACAGTTGTTTTCTGGAGAAAAATAGAGACTGTTTTAGTATTTGTTCTTATTAGCATATCATCAGAACTCAGCACAGTCTGCCTTATAAGAAAATAAGAATTTTTTTTTTTTTTTGAGACGGAGTCTGGCTCCGTCGCCCAGGCTGGAGTGCAGTGGCTGGATCTCAGCTCACTGCAAGCTCCGCCTCCCGGGTTTGCGCCATTCTCCTGCCTCAGCCTCCCGAGTAGCTGGGACTACAGGCGCCCGCCACCTCGCCCGGCTAGTTTTTTGTATTTTTTAGTAGAGACGGGGTTTCACTGTGTTAGCCAGGATGGTCTCGATCTCCTGACCTCGCGATCTGCCCGTCTCGGCCTCCCAAAGTGCTGGGATTACAGGCTTGAGCCACCGCGCCCGGCCAAATTTTTTTTATTTATAAATCTTGAGATTGTTAATTCTTGCTCTTCCTGATTTCTCATCTGTAAAGTGAGTGTAAGCAATACCTACCTCACAGGGGTGTTGTGAGGATTTATATTAAATGTGTTAAGTTCTCTCAGTATTATTGATTAAAACCAACCATATAAACGACATTTATTCTTTAGATAGACGTATTAACTTTAGTATTTCAGCCTATAAATTCTAGAACGTTCTTAAAAGCAGTAATGTACTATCTAATATTCAATAACTAATTGACAGAACTCTTATTGTTATTTTTTACAAATAACTCTAGAAACAATACTGTTGCTAGAATTCCTATTCTACTGTAATTTAATCATCACTGTTTCTTTTTAGCCTTCAGTAAGGAGGATATTAGTTCTTTGGCATTATTGGGAATAAAACTTTGTCAATTTCAGCTTTATTGAAAGTTCTCCCAAATACATTGTTTACACAAAGGAAAAGGAACAAAAAAAAAAAAAAAAAAAAAAAAAAAAAAAAAAAAAAAAAAAAAAAAAAACATGTTATAAAGGAAAATGAACAATGTAGAATATATGTTTATTTATTTTATTTTTTTTTTGAGATGGAGTCTCGCTCTGTTGCCCAGGCTGGAGTGCAGTGGCACGATCTTGGTACTCTGCAACCTCCACCTCCCAAGTTTAAGCGATTCTTCTGCCTCAGCGTCCCGATTAGCTGGGACTATAGGTGCACGCCACCACACCCAGCTAATTTTTGTAGTTTTAATGGAGACGGGGTTTCACCATGTTGGCCAGGCTAGTTTTGAACTCCTGACCTTGTGATCCACCCACCTCAGCCTCCCAAAGTGCTGGGATTGCAGGTGTGAGCCACCAGGCCCAGCCCATTTTTATTTCTTTAATGTAGGTGATCTAAATAGTAGATGAGGACAGGAAATGGGTTGAAGGTATATTATTAGAAAAGTCTTCACTGAAAACTGAAGGAAATACATATTAATCATGGAAAAAGATAGTGTGAAAAATGTGTAATTTCATTAACGTTTGTTTGTGCAGGCACATTCTTGATGTTGTGAGTCAGATATTTGATAAATGTCCATTTTTTATAGTAATTGATGTAAAAATGGGCCATGCGAAGAATTTTCATAATGTAATTTGTGTCTTTATATGTTTTGAACTACATATAGATCTGTAGCACTTAAATTGTTAATTTTTAATTTCTTAAGAGTGAAGTCTGTAAATGATTATTCTCTGCTGTACTTCTGTGTTTGTATGGTTAGACATTTTGAAAACTGGTGAGAT